TGATCCAATGACATAGCATCGATGATCCAATGGCATGAAATGTGATTCAATGGCATTTTTGTCCCAATTCTCCCTCCACCAACAATGTATAAACTCGACGGTAGATAACAGAAAGCGCTTACTAAGCACATTCTCGCATATGATATTCAAACAACCAAAACTACAGAAGTTTTAGCTTTCTACGCAAGTGATACTGAACATATTCGCTAATGATTAATTGTGAAAGTAAATATGTAGTGTTAAGTTAATAGCTTTTTTAGTCTCCGAGCCAGCTGAGTCTAGAGAGCTCGCGTCAATGTCGCGAACAGGCTATGGTGCATATTTACTATTTGTCTCGAGTCGGTTGTATTTAACCTGGAGAGTACCCAAGTTATTTAGGATCTAGTGTTTGAGGCTTTAAATAACCGTATCCCACGAATAACAACTGGAACGGTAAACACAGTTGGTATATAAAGCGGCTGCGACTCTTATATCTGGCTCGCGGTCAAGCACAGAACCGACAAGCGAATTCTCGAGAAATTCGCGGATCGGCGCTTCACGGCTACAGTCATTCTTCCTCATGTGCTACTTTACCTGAAATCATTCCGGTCAGGCTATCCTTTGGAAAAATTGTTTATTTGATCAATAGTCTTCGATGAACGATATGAAAGGCACAGCCTGATGGCGTAGGCACTGAACCTTGCCTGGCATGCGGATCTCAGTTTCATTTAACTCATTCTGCTGATTCACCTTGAATTTAATCCTTCCGCCAGAATTACATTGCTGTCACATTCTGCGTGACACCTATTGGCTTGATCAGCGATGATTTCTGAACGAATATAAATGCCTACTTTCACTCTTACGTAATTTGCGAAACGAGCCATTTTCAACGTCGATCTTGGTGCGCTATATATTGAACGAAAGCCTTAGCAAATGAGCAAATGTAAAGAAAGAAAAAAGTTTTCGAGGTACTCAAAGTGAAACAATTTTTACCTCACCATTTTAACCTTAGTTAGTAGTATTATCAATCTTAGTTCTAGTTTTAAACCTTAGTGTATTGTTAAGTTCTTAGCTTTATTACTGTACTGCATTTTAGACCTTTTTTCTTTAGAGGATCCTCCTCAGTGAAAATCAAGTACTAAGTGATTGGACATGGAGGCCTCCTCTTGGAATATTTACGTATTGTCTGGATGTTATTATTATTATGTTTTCCAAAGAGGCTTTTCGTCTCGAAAGCTGATCACAGCTAATCCAGGATGACGGCGGCAGGTATATTTTGTAGGGTGCAGGGTGCAGGTTGCAGGTTGAAATGTAATTATAACTGGAAAACCGCTGGCACTTGAAAGAACG